TGCCTGCTTGCTTGGGTTCAGCCACCAGGTAGGATGGAGGCCATTGGAGACTGAGGTTGGGACAGTTCTTCCTTCCTCTGGGCTGGATCTTCTAGCAGAGCCGTCCCTCCACCACAGCTCCCCATGGCCCAATGGACCCTCCCTCCTCTGAAGCTTCGGCTCCTTCAGGGCGGCAGTAACAACTTCCTGCTGTTGCTAACATGCCTTTAACCTGTGAGAAGCCCCTCAAGTAACCCCTTCATTTTTGTCTCTTTAAGTACTGGAATTAGATTTGGTTTTCTGCAGGGACCCTTAGTAATAAGTCCATAATAAGAAACCCTTACCTGAGTGTGCAAAGGACAGTGATGTCCTGAGGTGCTGGGCACTGGTGTCCATTCATCACGTTAACACTGGTATTCTATTGGTACAGCTAGAAAATAATAGGACTAAGTTTGTAAACCAATGGCCTGGAACTCGTAGATTCAAATTTTATTGCCTCCTTGAAGTCGACACTTCTAGATGCTTTAAGACCTATTTCAGCAATGGCCAACATGTTAAATGGCCAACATGTTAAAATATTCTCAGGTTGCTTTTTAAGATTTCCGTTAGTGTTCATAACCCATTATTTTGAATAAGGTTGGTAAATAGTCCTCCTTTGATGGCAGATTTGATTCAGATGAACAGGCAATATCAACAACACATATTTGAAAATTAGCAATAATTTCTTTAGGCTTCTATCCGATTTTCACTAATTATCCTCAAAATGTCTTTTATAGCTTATTTTTCTTTTAAGCCAGGATCCAACCAAGTTTCATAAATTGCCTTTGGTTGTCTAAGTATTTTTAGGGATACAGAGATGTGAGTTTATGCACATAACTGCGATCCAGTGCCTTGTGTAACATGATGTATTTATCTTGTCAGTGAACCAGGTGGGCCTTTAGTGAAGACGAAGAATGTTCCTAGCATTGCAAAGGACACAACTTGGATATGGGAGGAGGAGAGGAGCCAGTCACTCATAAGGGCCGTTAAATTGGTGTAAGCAGTCAGCACTTTCCTTTTTCATGTTAGGGCCCGCAGAAAATCTTATTTCCATAGTGTGCTGGGGTAAACACAGGGCTCCCTCGTCCTGAGGGCTGGGGGACCTACATTTGTAGTACATCCTGAAAATGTGCGGCAACTTTTTGGGTTCCCAGTTTATGTCTCAGGGTATTCTTATTTCAAATCTCTATCATTTTAGGTAACCTGCTGTGTTTCTTCCTCCAAAGAACCTAGTTTAGAGTCTTACTTTGTCCCTTTCAGCAGCCACTAATACCCATTAATCTGGAAAAACAAAGACAAAGTTGGCCTTTTTCCATGTTGTTTATTCCCAACTAGCTACATGAGGGGGATAAACAAATTAGTAGGAGCTTTGTGGAGATAATGAGGTATGGGTGGAAGGGTGGGATTTAAACAGAAAATAATCTTATACACAGCTAAATGGAAGATTTACAGACATCCTTTTTTTTTTTTTTTTTTTTTTTTTTAAGTATCCTCTGAGGGTAACAGAGGAAGATAAAACCATCATGAGTAAAATAAATTAGCAACTTTTTATCATTGCATAACCCAAAGAGAAGTCTCAGGAAGTGGTTTGCATTTTCTGTCATGATTTACAGATACTTATGTGATACATATTTCCAACACAGGGAAATAAAGACTAACACCGAATAACAGATTCATATATGCAGAGGGAAGTTGAGCACATGAAAATAGCTATCATCTGGTAGCAAAAATAGATTTATGCTGATGTTAATATCAAAATTAAAGACATTCAAATAAATTATGCCAATACATTGGAACTATTATTCCTAACATCACAAGCACAACTTTATTGCTCCTACTCATAACTTTAAAAAAAAGGTCTGAGAAAATTATACGATAGTTTGAGGGCATGATAGAACTTCTGGAATATGTTAGTAAGCCTACAACAAAATTCAACAGCGAAATAAAAACTTTATGGTTTTTCTTTTAGGGTTGACACTGTTAATGGTCGAACAAGACCACTCATCATAAATCTGGAAAATACGGATGAGGGACAATACTTGAAGTTCAAGTAAATGATTTACTGATGGTAATTATAAGCAGAATGTGAGAAAGGCAGCAGCTCAAATAAACAATCAAGTATTTTTGAGGTTTGTTTTTCTCTTCCAGAGAGCCCCACAGGAAGCAAACAAAGATTGTGGGCTATTGGGGTACTTTCCTTGATAGATAACTGGACTGTTGTCCTAAAGTGAACTCTGGTTAAATTAGTACCAGAACTGGCCTGACTTTTGGGAGGCGAATGGCATGGAGAGCCGCCCTGTGATTCTGATTATTACATTTGACTCGGGAAATACCAGACTGTGCTTTGGGGTCAGCAGAGGGAAGCCATGTGCTGTCTGGATACACTGGAGAGTGCTGGTTTCTTCCTGAATGAATCGCCTGCAACTTGGGGTAATCGATAGTGGCCATAGGAACTTCTGAAGTACAATGTGGTTGACGGTGCAAAGTCCCATTCCCAAGAGTATCTGTGTAATTCCCCATGGATTTGGGATAGAATCATCAGGAATAAAATGGAGGTTGGTTACAGCATATCTTAGATGGTGCAGTGACTACAATTGTTTAATTGGGATTTTCAAAGTTCAGAAAGTCAGATTCTACTTCAATTCTTCCCAAAGAATGCCACGTTTGTTTTCTTTATCTTAAAAATATGAAATACCCTTGAGCTACAAATGACATGGGAAGGTGCTTTTGAGAATAGGGACTAAAAGAAAAAAGAAGCCATTTCCCCCTCAAGGTACTTTTAAGATTATAACAGTATGACTCACTAAGCTGTTTAAATTTTAGAAAAGCCCTTTACAGATGCTGGTACTAATAGCTTTTTAAATTTGCATATAGTTCTGTAGTATATTCTAATTCACCTCTGTTTCCATTTCAAATAAGAGGACTACAAAGGTGATATTTGGTCCATTTATCTTTGTGACTCCAATATAAAGCATAAAATCAATTGAAATAACAGCACGGGGACAATTAAAAAATTTCCAAATACTATATAACAATGCTACACCCATTCAGGCTGCCCATCTTGGTTTTGTTGTTGTTTCTTTTTTGAGCCAGCCTCTGGAGGAGGCCTATTTCATAGTTGATATGGCTAAAAGTCCACATTTTCCTTCACATTGTGAAAACTAGGTTTGTTTTCCCCTAGAGTATCCTTACATCTACAGCCTGCTTCTTCCTCTCTGCGAGCAGACTTTGGATATATGCTTGAAAAGAAAAGAACAAAGCACGTACCAAAGAATCTGTGTCCTTTAACTGCTTAGAAATGGAAATGACATTCACATTGTGTTCATCTTGACTTCTTGATAAAATGGAATGAATGAATGTAATATTTAAGGAATCATTTGTTGTTTTAAAATGCTAATCATTTGCAAATTCCAAAAGGCCATGACTCACTTTCAGTAACTCTACACTTTGAAAGTGCAATACTGTCCAACTAGTTGATTATTTGGTGTAAACTGAAAAAAATCATGTGTTCTTTTTTTCCCGATACTTACTCTACTTTTCATTCCTAGAATTCTACATGCTCTGAAATTATTTAAATATCTGTAAGTGTTTTCTGGCGAAAACTGTTTAACACACCATTATACCTGATATTCCATAGGACTGTTATGGACAATAGAGTCAAAGACTTAAAAATTACGCTTTGGTTTTAATGTAATCTGGGCAGAAGTTGGAACTACTTTGATAACACACTTCAACTACTGCACAGATTCTATTATTGTACTTTAAAATAACATATTTAAAAAGACAAAGTTTCCCCTTTCAGGAGTTATAATCTGTATTATTCAAGACTGCTGCAAGACTCACAAAAGAGGGAAATGAGTAAGAAGAAAGTGTAGTAAAGAGATAAGACAAAGCTTCATCAGAACACAACACAAAGGAAGAACATCAATTCTCTACATTTGTCTATAAGGCAGATGGTCAAACTTCTTATACAAGATCTAAAATATGGTGTTATTAAGAGGTAGAAAATACCAAAACAGCATTTAAGAAAAAACTGTTGAGTTCCTGAAAACAATCAGTTATTTTGCTAAACTTTTAGAAAGTCAAACTGCTGTGTGGAATGCACCGTATGTTTTATGCTAAACTGGAACATTCCATACTCAACAGAAAAGTAGGGAGTGGGGAATCTAGGGGTGGGGCTGGGGGGGATGCAGAAAACAGTTTCTTGTCAAGAATTTGGTTCTCACTAAGGAGAGATTTCCTACTGTGTCTCTGGGATGCCATTATAGTGTTTAACTAATGGGCATTTCTCAGATTGACAATTTCTCTGAGTAACAGGGTACAGTTTTGCACATAAGGCAATAAGAACTCTAGGGAGGGATGAGCTCAAATGCTTTTCCTCTTCAGGAAGGTGCCGTATCTATGTCATATAAAAACGTACATCCTACTAATCTCCTACCAGCCTCCCAACCACCAAAATGGAAGTATTCTTCGGACTCCAGCACCAGCAGAATTGTTCTGGATGAGCAATTCAAGAGCTGTCGGAGGCAAAAAGATATCTGAGCTACCAAATTAAACTTGGGTAGCTTACGCATGAGTGAGTAACCCTGGGTATTCTTAGTTCTTAATGCACCTGGGAGAGATAAATTTTTTTCTCCAACATAATTTTATAAGGCATGAATTTAATTTGAATTTTCCTAACCTTTGGAAAATTAGTGTTAAAGCTTCTTTTTTAACCCACACATTAACATTCAGTCTTTCATTTTTATTAAATAGCTTATATATAAAATGAAATATCAAGGTGTTCTACATTCATATAAACAATTGTGATAACATTTGAAATTATAAAGGAAACTATTGAAGAAAATACATACTTAAATACAATGCTAAGCTAAGCACAGGTAATCATTCTAGATAATTTCTTTTAAATATATAGACACAGGTTTGTGGCTTCAGAAAGCAAACACAGGAGAAGTACAGGTGTATCATTCTTCTTTCCTTTTTCACCACAAGACAGGATGGTCCAGTTTGGAAAAACCAAGATCTTTTCTAAGTTCCAAATAGGTGCCGTTGCTCACCCAACAGTCATCATTGGATTTCCTGTGAAGGATAAAAGAATTTCTTGAAGGCTACTGAAAACACTGTCATATTCTCTCCTTCCCTTTCCCTCCTTTCTTCCTCCCAACCCTGGGCCAGGCTATCATTCTTACAGACATACAATGTCCCTGATAATCTCATATGGGAACTATGAGGGAACAGGAAGCCTGGAGGCCATTTTGTCACTTCTGACTTTGACTTCTCAAACTTAGAGGCTGTGAAAAATGGTGCTTGAGAGAAGCATGGATAAGGGAACAGTTTGTCATATATAAAACATGGCTGGGATGACAGCCACACCTTGGGTGTGACTATGGAAAAGCTACAAATCAACTAGATTGTTCAATGAAGTGATAAGTTAACATTAAAAACAAAAGGAATTGGAAGACATAAGAGTCAGGAGAGAATAGCCTTGGTTCACTATCCTTTGAATAGATAATATATTAAATAGATGAAAATTCAAAAGGTACAAAAGGGTAGATAGCTAAAAGTTTTCTTCTTACTCCTATCTCCCAGATTTCCAGTCCTTTTCTTCAGAGGCAATGATGATCTTATAAGCTTCATTCTTTCAGAGAAATTTCATGCATGTGTGAGCACGCATGCATACACATACATACTCCACTCCTCTCCCATTTCTTCCACAATGACAGCACTCCATGGTGTCCTACCTTTTGAGTTTTTGACATAACAATATATATTGGAGATCATTTTCTGTTGTCACAGTAAGTTCAGCAAACTACAGCCCAAGGGCCAAATCCAGGCTTCTGCCTATCTTTGTAATGCTGGTTTTTTTTTTTTTTAAGTTGACGTATAATTAACATAAATTGTTCTATTTGTTTTAGGTGTACAATATATTGATTCAACAATTCTGTACACAGCATTACATCAGTGTCACCATAATAAGCGTAGTCACTATCTGTTACCATACATTATTACAATATTATCAACTATATTCCCTATGCTGTGTTTCTCATCTCTGTGACGTATTTATTTTATAAGTAGATACCCTTTAATCTTAATCCCTTTTTATTGGAACACCACCATGCCCATTTGTTTAACTGTTGTCTATTGGTGCTTTTATGCCGCTCAGTGGGTTGGAATAATTACAACTAAGACCTTATGGCCTGCAAAGCTAACAATATTTACCATTTGTATTTTATAGTCCCCAAAAGTTTGGGGACTCTGTGGCAATAGGGAATCCTGATTTTTTTTTTTTTAAGTTTATTTGTTTATTTTTGAGGAAGGGGAGGGGCAGAGAGCAAAGAAGAGAGAGAATCCCAAGCAGGCTCAGCACTGTCAGCACAGAGCCCGACCTGGGGCTTGAACTCACAAACTGTGAGATCATGCTCTGAGCCGAAATCAGGAGTCAGATGTTTAACTGACTGAGCCACCCAGGTGACCCTGATTTCTTTTTAAACAGTCGCATGATATTCCATTGTAGAAATGGACACAATTTAACAGGTACCTTACTGGTGAGCCTTTAGGAGGTTGTTTTTAATCTCTAGCTATCACAGACATATGTTAATAATAATATAATATGATAAACATATAACAATATGTAATTTTACATGTGAGTATAGTCACATTAAAAATTCCAGTAAGTAGAACTATGTCAAAGAGGGTGTACATTTATAATTTTGACTGATATTTCATATGCTTCAAAAGCATAAGTGGAGAGTGCCTGTTTCTCCAACCTCCCAGGAACAAGGATTCTTATCACACTTGTTTCCCTAATCTAATAAAGGGATGTGTCTAAAATAAGCCAGTCTGCATACCCAGTGCTTGACTATGAAACAGAGGAGCCCAGTTCTGTAGGAACTGTAGTTGCCACTTGGAATTTCTGTGGACACTTCCCTTGTTCCCACATTCCTCTGTCACCTCTTTGCCAGGACCACTACTGCTGAAGAATTCTTGCCTTTTCTCCAGCTCTTTATTTGCCACATCTAATAGTGTGATAATTTAACAGACAATCAAGAGGAAAAAGAGCCACCTGGCTGCATCCATGTTCTGTCCTTTTCCATTCCAGACATAATTCTAGATGGTTTCAACAACAGCCTAGATAATGGTTTATATTTTGCATTTAAATGTTAATTTATTTCCCATAGAGCTCCACAGACTTTGTGGACTTTCACATTAGGTAAAATTGATGAATCTCCCTACCTAGTTCTTGAGACAGTTTAGTCACCTACAGTTTTTAATGATCCTGAATATACTGCAATGAACATCTTTATAAATCTAATTTCCCTTGTTTAAAAATGACATGAGGTGCGCCTGGTTTGCTCAGTCAGTGAAGTGTCTGACTCTTGATCTCAGCTCAGGTCTTGATCTCAGGGTTGTGAGTTCAAGCCCCATGTTGGGCTCCATGCTGGCCGTGAAGCCTACTTAAAAAAAAAAAAAAAAAAAAAAAAAAAAAAAAAAAAAAACCAGACACAAGACCCTAGATGATTTATGAAAGAAAAAGAAAAAATTAGCCTACTTAAAGGTATATGTGTATATCTATCAATTGATCAGCAAATCAACTGATCAGTCTGTTAATCTATCCATTTATCTATCTCTTGCCTTTAAAAAATAGTTAAAGATGTCTTGTTTTTAAAATATTTAAACAAAGTTATGAATATTCTGGGATGAAACTCTGGTTGATCTTCATTTGCTTATCTCCTGAGTCTGGGTAAATGATCAGAAGGGATCTGGCAAAACCCACATTGACTCTAGGGGGAAAAAGCATTATATTTTGGGGATGAATAGTACTTTTTGCTATTTTGGAATACAGACTTTATTTCTGCTGCTGACAGATTAGTAGCTAATTCCTCCTAAAAGTGTTCATGTTATCCATTAAAACACAATGGCAACCAAAACAAAACAAAAACAAAAAGCAAAAAACCGAAAAACCAACCAACCAACAAACAAACCCCAAACAAAAAAACCCTGGCTTCCCTGAAAGCAAGACTGGGGTGTAAGGGGTAGGGCAGAAGCCTGTGGCTTTTCTATGTGCGCCTGTTTTAATGTTGATTTTTTTTTTTTTTTTATTAAACCAATAAAAAAGCCCCTAAAACCATACAAAGCCCTGGCCAGTAGTCAGGAGAGCCAGGTGCCAGTCCAGGACATTTCACTGGGGCCTCCTATGTTCCCTGGGCCTTTGCTTCTGCCCAGTTAATATAAAAGAGGGGGTAAAGGGCTGATGATCTCTGATGCCCCTTCTAGATTTTTAAGTCTATTTTTAACAGGACTTTAATGGCAAGTTATTTTAAAACTAATAGTAAATGTTCCAAATCCAAACTGAAGTGTTTTGTAACTTCTGCAATTCAAGAATTAGACCACTTGCAGGGCACCTGGGTGGCTCAGTCCGTTGAGTACCTGACTCTTGATTTCAGCTCAGGTCATGATCCCACGGTCATGAGATCGAGCCCCATATTGGTCTCTGTGCTAAGTGTGGAGCCTGCTTAAGATTCTCTCCTTCTCTCTCTGCCCCTCTGCCTAACTTGTGCTCTCTCTCTCTCTCTCAAAAAAAAAAAAAAAAAAAAAAAAAAAAAAAAAAAAAAAAAAAAAAATTAAAAAAAAAGAAAGAATTAGACCACTCAGAATTTCCATTTTCCAGGGGAGAAGTTTCTGTACTCTGAAGCAAGAAAAACACCAAGAAGGCTCTCCTTTGGGGAGGGGACAGCCCATTTACTCTCTTCATACTGGAAGCATCAGGTGTCACCAGTACCTATCCACCAATGACCCACACAATATGCGCCCACACCTGAAAAACCGCGGCTGGTGTTCCACATTATTTTCTTCTAAGACCCGTCGCCTTTCTCTCTGTAGCTGTTCAATCCTCTGCTTTTGTATTTCAGCTTCTTCCAAGTTCCCTTCTTCTAGGAACCTGAGGCATTAGGGAAAAAAAGCAACACAAATTCTGAGAAAATACTGTAATCATTACTTCTAGAATTATGTATCTAAGACTGGATATTCAAAATGCTTCCCTATAGGTAAGAACCCCCCTTCAACCTTTAAAACAGTATTTTGAGGTAGTTAGGGAAGACATCATCATCATCATCATCATCATTATTATTATTATTATTTTAAATGTTTATTTATTTTTGAGAGAGGGACAGAGAGTGAGCAGGGGAGGGGCAGAGAGAAAGTAGGACAGTGGATCCAAAGTGGGTTCTGCACTGACAGCACAGAGCCCGATGTGTGGCTCAAACTCATGAACTGCGAGATCATGACCTGAGCCAAAGTCGGACGCTCAACTGACTGAGCCACACAGGTGCTCCAAGATATTATTTTTTGAACTGGTGACATATACATGGCTCAAAAAATCAGATCTATAAAAAGGAATGTGTCCCTTTCATCCCCATCTCTCATCCCACCTGTTTCCTCACCATACCTTTTGCCTGTAGCCTCAGAGTACATCAAACTTTTGAATCTTGCTACTTGATACATTAAGAATTAGTATGTCTATATATTTTTTAAAAATATGCATTTCTTGAGGCACGCAGGTGGCTCAGTCGGTTAAGCATCCAACTCTTGATTTCAGTTCAGGTCATGATCTCACAGTTCGTGAGTTTGAGCCCCGCATCGGGCTCCATGCTGACAGTGCAGAGCTTGCTTGGGTTTTTTTTTCTTTTTTTTTTTTCTTCTCTCTCTCTCTCTCTGCCCCTCCCCTGCTTGCTCTCTATTTCTCCCCCCCAAAATAAACTTTTTAAAAAATTTTTGAAAATATGCATTTCTTTCAGTGGGACTAAGCATCTTTTCATATGTTTAAGGGATATCTGCATTTCCTACTTTGTGAACAGTTCATTTTCCTATGTCTTTTTTTTTTTTTTTTTTTTTTTTTTTTTTTTTTTTTTTTAGTGAGTTAATCTTGATTTTTGAAACCAATTCATGAAATGAGTTGAAATATAGATTTCCCAGTTTGTCGTTTGTCTTTTTAACTCTGGGTATAAAAATATTTTTTTACTTTGCCATGAAGAAGTTTGTTTATTTTTTTTTAAATAAAGTCAAATATATAATTCTCCTGTTTCCTTTCTGGGTTTTGAGTCTTAATTAGGCCCCAGGGCAGAGATAATTATTTCTATTACACAGAATAGGAAACTGAGACTAAGAAAGATGACACAGCTTGTGGCCAGCAAACCTAGAATGAGAAGTTAGGTTTTGTGCACCAAAATAATTTAAATCTGAAGTGTAAAGGAATTGGGTGTTTTTCACTCTTTCAAATACACAGTTACAAGTTCTATATTACTATAGGCAGTAAAACTCTTAAAAATAAACACTTTGGGGGGATATTTCAACAGAAATAAGGCTTTACTGATGAATAAAGGCCAGGCCACACATAGAATTAAGCTGGGCTCCATACCTTCCATGACATGATTGTTTTCAGTCCTCGTAGACCTAGACCTCTACTCCTAACGACATTGTCTCTCTCGAGCTCCTCTGATGGCCTGGGAGTTGTTAGTAAGACTCTTTATAAAGAGTTTTACATCTCTGGAGATAAAGATCTTTAAAAAGTCCTTACCTTTGGTCTGGTCTAAAACGAGTGTCAGTAGGTGGTAATAAAGACTTTGACAATGGATCCATTTCATTTAATTCTAGGGCAAACTGTGTGAAGCCATAATATTGCTCATAGCCTTTTGGCATGGGATCTAAAAGAAAAAGAAATCATTCATTTCCAACTTCCTTTCATTTACATTACATTTTAATTCCTTCACCTTTTCATCTCAAACCAGCTATTATTTTTTCTCTCTCAGATCTAAATTCTTCCATTTCTACTAAAATATTCTGGCTAACAAATAGGTGTTGAATGTTCCTCCATAAATCTTTTTCTCTGTAAGTTTTCTTCTACCTACAAGGATAAGACCTCTTTTGTGTGGTCAGATAGGGAATTTATGTAATGCTGTGAAGTTTTTATACTGTGCAAGTTATAAAAATAATTTGTTACAAAAATAAACATGTGAAAAAGAACTCTGGGTCCATGTTTTCCTGACTAACAACACTAACTCTGGAGAATCCATTTTTCATTTAAGAAATGTCAAATCCTCCTGGAACTCTGTCTAGTACCTAAAATAGTGTTGAACCCATAGCAAGTGGTCAATGTTATTCTTTTTTCCATTCCTGCCCTTCCTTTTACCAAGTCTTGTCCCTCCATATCTTACACATTTATATTTAAAACTAACTCAGTGGAAGCCGGGAATAGACGTGGGATTATACCGGCAGAAATACTGCCAGCTGGATGTCAAGGGGACCGAATGAAGTAAGGCTGTTGGACCACTGGCATTTTACAGGATGCTTCCATCAAGTTACCCAGCTGCAAACATGTGTTAACCCTCAAGCAAAGGGAAGAATGAGTGGGAAGGTGATTCAGAGATTATCAGGGCTACCACTGCCACCACAGGCCCAGACGACAAGGCCCAGTGGGGGAAGGATGCCTCCACCCTTCAAAGGATGGGGCCACTGCCACAGTTTCAAGCTGCCAGGCTGCCACCACCCAGAGCCTTGGGCCCCTGCAATGTATCACTGCTACACTGGTAGTGACAAAATGTGTCCTCAATGGTCTGTGCTCTTGACACAGCTAAGTTGCCTGTATAACAAACACGGCCCATCCTACCCCTTCCTTGTTAAGTAACAGCACACATCCTAATGATTTAAGTCACTATTAGAATGGTTTTGTTTTATTTTGTTTTGTTTTGATCAGCCCAAAGCATTCTCGTGGTGGTATCTCAAAATGATGTTTTATAATATGACCAAGACTTAAAAGATGGACAAACGTCTCAAAAGGTTTTGGGGGACATGTTATGAAGGTTTGGCTTCCCTAGCCCTTTCTCCCCACAGCTGCTCAAGGGCTATTTTTCTAGAATTACAAGAGACATCAGAGTGGTTAATGGTATTGGGTGAATCCGGGAGACCCCTGACTTTTGTAGAAGCCCCAGGTCACTCTTCTTGTCTACTGACAGTTTCCTCTTTATTCATTCTTACTCTAGAATGACTTCCTGTGCTTCCCTAACACTCCTTAGTGCCCAAGATAGGCACAGGAGTGATGTGTGTGGCCTGGAAGATTTCCTCAGAGAGAGTGACCACGGATTAAGTGACCAATGGCTTCGTTCCAGGATTAAGAACCCAGGACCTAGCAGGCCAACTGAGGTGTTGTTGAGAAGCATAAGGATGAGGCTGAGATAATGATTACTGAATGAAAGAAGGGCTGGCCGCTCGAATGGAGTTCAAAGCAGGTAGAGGCTAGAGGTACGAGACAGACACTGCTGCCAGCCCGCCTGCGGTTCCTCTGGCCATGCCCCCCACCCCTGGCCCAGAACTGATTAACCCGAATACTAACTTGCTCTCCAGACACAAGTGGACGAGGAGGAGCCCCCACAGTAGATGCTTTCGTGCCATTTCCCGAAGAGCCGATGCACGGCTTTTCCATTCTTGTCAAATACCGTACCTTCAATCTCACGGGCATTAGTGCTCCAGTATTTTGCCTAGGATTCAAATATAAGTTATTTGTTTAGTACTTTGGGGTCAACTTATTACAGATATTAAGAGGAAAAGCAAAGGAAAGAGAAAAAAACCACAAGAATGATTCTGCATTAAAAAAAATAATAAAATAAAAAAAAGAATGATTCTGCATTGTATATAGTGTGCTGGTTCTGGGTTCTGGCTTTTTAAACAAATCATGCTTTTAATTACTTCATAGAAATTAACAGCTAACTATTTACAGTGTGCAACTGAACAAGCAACATTTGTGAAAGATACGGGTTTTCTCCCTACTTCTGCTACATGCAACGTCAGAAGGAAAGGCTCAGGTCTCACACTTTGGCCAAATAAAGCGGTTGGCCTCTAAGCCCCTCCTCTGGAATAGCCATTCCCTGGATGTCACTGTGGCTCTGACTACTGCAATTTAAGAGAGAAATAACTTGTATTTTTTTTTTTCTAGATGGGAACTAGATAGCTTTTTGTAAACCAAGAAGGAGGCTCCTTAACATTGGTCATAATAAAGCAACCAATTTTCAGTTTCTCCGATTATTTCTCCCCCAAACTAGATTTGTTCATCCAATCCATTGGAATGTTAGGCAACCCTTATTTACACTGTGGAATGGTCCTGGTCTGAGAGAGCAGCTCAGCTCAGCTCAGCCTTGTGGGTTTTATACAGTACCACAAGGTGGCCAGCAGAGGGTGGTCTAACTCCCTAGAGTTGTGTGGTTTTTTTTTTTTTTTTCTTTTTTTAATCTCCCCATTACCTGGCTGCCCCAAAAAAATCTCTAAGAAAGAACGGAAGGCATTACTTCATAAATCAAAACTCCCAGTGCTATTTTCAGCCAAAACAGAATCCATATTTGGAAACCAATAAAGTTGAGTGGCATTTTGGGGCCATATTCTGGTGGTTTGGTTTCCCCCTTCTGTGTCTACGAGGAAGATGGAAGGAAGGACAGAGTACAGCAGCATCACACAGCTGAATCAGAAATGTAAACCTGAGGTCTCTACTCAGGTAATAATGGAGGAAAGTGGCAACAGATACCGTCCAGGCTCTTAAGTGTATTCTGAAGCAGAAGTCCGGTTTTCTATTATAGACATTTGCTGACAAATCCAATGCTGGCAATACAAGGGGATGCCACAGAGGAAGGGCTGTGCTCCATTGGGAAGGGCCACATCTGCTTTCAGATTCTCTTTCAACACCAGAGGTATGTCCAGTGTGCCAATCCCCTCATTTCTTGTAGCCACAGAAATCTATTCTCTGGCCCTAAGTGTGTGAGTACTAAGTAGACGGTAGAAATGGGATTCAAGCACATTTCCTTGGGGAAAGTGCTGAGAACCAGGTGGCCTTCACCTGGCTCAGGGTGCTGAGCTATATGAAGTTTTCAAGGCAGAGTCATTTTTATATTACCTCAAACATTACTAGTCTGATTTATAGGATATAATAAAGACCTCCATCTATCTCTCCATAATATCCCCTACAGGCTACAGGTGGTGCAGAGAGGTCCTGCATGAAATGCCACAATTAGAGCCTAATCTCTTGGCTTCTGATTTTGATCTTAATTAAATGCAAATGTTCCTTTAAGACCATGTTAAGTACATGATAATTTTAAGGGGAAGAGGAATCTAAGGGAATTGAGGCACTTGGAAAGGTAAGCAGACTATTCCACACTTTTGCCTTTGGCCAATCTGTTCATTTACCCTATGAATGTTCATGAGCCTTTCCAGACATCAGCCTACATCAGTGAGCAAGATTAGACCAGGCTTTTGCTTCTCCAGAGTCACGGATGGTGAGGCGGGTGTGGGGAACAGAAGATGAAAACACACAAGTAAACCAACAGTGAGCAAGCTAACTATAGATGGGAATAAAAACGTTGAAGAAAATGGGATATGATAGACACTGACTAACAAGACAGGGCTGATGATGAAGGATCTGTGGAGAAGGGCTCCAAGCAGGAGGAAATGGAGAGAAAGGCCAGTGTGGTCAGAAGGGGAGGAAGGGTTGGTAGAAGCTGAAATTGGAGAGGAATGAGTGTGTTTGTGTGTGTGCATGTGTGCACATATCCATATACAGGCAGGTATGTGTGCATGTGTGTGTTCATATATGTGCGGCCAGCTGTGTGTGTGCATGCACATGTGTTCGCATGTGTGTGTATGTGCCGGTGTGCGTGTGTGTGTGTGCACGTGTGAACATGGGGGGGTGGGCAGTGCATAGTGCACAGGGCCTTGTGGGCCATTGTCAGGAGCCAGGCTTTTACTCTAGGAAAGACAGAAGTTGTTGGAGGAATTCTGGGATATACAGCGTGACTTTTGTTTTTTTCATTCTAGTAAAACATAAATAACAAAATGTACCATTGTGATCATTTGTAAGTGTACAATTCAGTGACGCTAAGCACATTGACTATGTTGTGTAACCATCATCATTTTATATTTCTAGAGCTTTTTCATTTTCCCAAACTGAAACCGTGTATCCATGAAACACTAACTGCCATTCCCCAACCCACCAGCCCCGGGCATCACCATTCTACTTTTTGTCTCTATGAATCTGACTGCTCTAGGTACCTCAAAAGTGGAGTCACACAATACCTGTCCTGTGTCTGGCTTATTACACTCAGCATAATGTCTTCAAGCTTCCTCCATAAGGTAGCATGATGAATTACATTGTATAAGAGTCCCTCTGGCTGCTGCAGTGAGGACAGACCACAGGGGAGTAAGAGTGGAAGGAGGGAGGCTCGAAGGGGACACAACCCTGGTCCAGGTGAGAGGGGTTGGGAGGGGGGAACACCAGGGATCCCCCGACATTGCTTGCCTGATGGCACAAGGGTGAAGGTGAAAAGTTCCCTGGGATGTCCTGTGCCCGGAGGCCCTGCTCTGCCAAGGCCTTTCTGGCGGTTACCTTTATGAAATTCACTTTGCAGTGGCAGGAGTCATCATTCAGGTTCTTGATGACAATCTCCCCATAGTGCTCAATCCATCTCTGCCCACTTAAGATGTTATGGATGCAAGAGGTCACTTTGTTCCACTCAAAATGATCTCCAAAGCTAAAAAGGAGGAAATGGTGGCATTAACAATTCCCAGAAGAGCCAGTAGCAAATGCAAACAGATATTGCTATTAAAAAAAAAAAAAAAAAAAAAAAAGTCACATAATGAATTACTCCTTCCTTCATTTCCAGAACCAACTGGGTGCCTAAGCCATGCTGGGCATTCTGACTTCCACTCCCCCAGGAGTCATCCGTGTCACAGAGGGGAGCAGCAGTCAGAGATGGCCACTCTGGAAGCTGACAGGGACTTCACTGGAAGCTGGTGATGTCCTCAAACAACCCACTCTCTCCTTTGACAGAGGAGAAAACTGAGAGCCAGAGGTGACTTGCCGAAAGTCACCAAACTAGAAAACGGAAGAGGCAATGGGGAAGGTGGGGGCATCTTCCACAATCTGCTCTCTACACACATATGCACATGCATACACACATATGTGTATATATGTGCACACGCATACATATGTATATATGTATATGCAAAGACACATATCTATGTTATAGATAAATCTTTCTTTAAAAATTTTTAATGTTTATTTATTTTTGAGAGAGAGACAGAGTGCAAGTGGGGGAGGGGCAGAGAGAGAGGGAGACAGAATCTGAAGCAGGCTCCAGGCTCTGAGCTGTCAGCACAGAGCCTGGTTGCAGGGTTTGAACTCACAAACCACTAGATCATGACATGAGTGAAAGTCAGACGCTTAACCAACTAAGCCACCCAGGCGCCCCTATTTTATATATAAATCTTACACATATCTTAAATCTTTTTACAATGAGAAAGTATTCAGACTTACAGAGTCATATAATAATTACGAGGATAATGATAATAAGACCAAACACTCACATGGCATATACTATTTGCCAAGTACTCTTTAAAGTGCTTTATGTACATTATTCCTTTAATCTTCATAAGCCCTGCAAAGTAGGTGGTTTATTTCTCGTGTTTTATAGATGAGGGAACTAGTGATCAGAAATATTAAGTAACCTGCCCAAGGATTTGCAATTAGTAAGTGGCAGGGTGAGTACACGAGTCCTATTAGCCCAGTCCCGGAGGCCACACTCACAGCCATTTGGCTTTATAAACGAGTACCAATAATCTCTGTAGGATCAAGTCCATATCTTTCTTTAAAGGAATTCTGACAGTGAGGTAGGACAACAACGTTAAGGCAAACCACCATTCTTAATTTTGTTAGACGTGGAAACGAGTTTTAAAAGAGCTTTTGTTCAATGAACTTTGGTTTCCAGGTGGCATTTCCATTTGAAGGAGAGAAAATGTGAGCTTGTCAAAATGAGGTACATTTGAACTTACTGTCAAACCAATGAAAAGGGAAAAAACATATACTCAACACCATGGGGGACAATGGGAGTCCCATTCCTACAGCTGTATCTTGGCCCTAAATTCTATAAAGTTCCTAAGCACAGAAGAACTTACGCTGGCAGAGTCACGTGGGTGGTGCCAATGGGGACAATTTCCATGGATTTGCCCCAGAATTTGTTTTTCCATCTCACATCTGAAATGAAATACCAATTAGTACATATTTAAAAGGAGAGCCACACAGATCAGAGAATTCTTAGGCTGCATGAATGATCAACCACTATATAGAACCTCTTCATAATAAAATTCATTATTATACAGGATAAGTTTTCATTCAATATATGTACCAATTGAGTATCTGGAACAGAATCAGGGAACTAAAATTATAAGGTAAGTTCCTTCCCTTAGAAGAACTCACAGTATGAAAGGGAGACAAAAGTGAAAACAAGTAATGCCCACAAAGAGAGGCACAGGCTGTAACTGAGTATGTTTAAGAAGAAATGGAACCATAGAAGTAGGAATGACCAACATGGGTGGGGAAAAGCATCCGTAGAGGCCTGTCTGCAGGGGGCACTTAGACTGGGCTCTGAAGAATAAGCAGGAGTTCACTAGGCAGGAAAAAAAGCAATAGAAGGCAGAAGACAGCTTGTTCAAAGGGAGAGAGGTATAAGAGAACATGGCGTGGTTCTGTCCCACAGGTCTTGGATTGTTCAGCGAGACGAGCTGAAAGACAGACTGAGTACAAAAACAATGGGCTCTACAAGCCAGGCTAAGACATCTGGTGTGTATACACTGGGGGAAAATAAGATGTTTGGTTAGACAGAAAACTCATGCGATTAGATACAGACTTTGCAGAGGCAATTGGGACCAATACAGAAAATGGACCTGGAGCACAAAAGATGAGAAGCAAGGCGACAGGTTACAAGCTTGCTGTAATTGCTCCAAGGATAAGTGAGGGTGAAGTGACCTAAGGCCGTAGCAGACAGAGTAGAAGGGAATGATCCCAAAACCAGGAAAGAAGTAGGAATAGAACTAGCTGACAAATTAGATGCCGATTGTGACAGACAGGGAGAATTTGTAGACGGTCTCATAGTTTTCTCATTTGCATAAATGGTGGCACCAACTGGAAGACACAAATGGAAAAAGAACAGAGTAAAAACAGAATTTTTAAAAAAAGGAACAGAAAAACAAGGGCAGAGAGGGTGATCCCTCTGACTGCTGCATGATAATACACAGACCACAGGGGAGCAAGGTGAAAGGAGGGAGGCTGGTAGGGGGCCGTGGCCATGATGCAGGGGAGTGATAGGCCTGGCAGCAGGCAGCCCTTGGCCACATGATTTCACGTCTATAAAATATTCCTAATAGGCAAATCCACAGAGATAGAAAGTAGGTAAGGGATTGCCTAAGGATGGAAGAGGTTGATGGAAATTAGAAGCTGGGGTGGAGTAGGTACTGGTAGGTAGGCGGGGGTGGTTTCTTTTGGAGTGATGAAACTGTTCTGTCGGTGGGAATGCAAACTGGTGCAGCTGCTCTGGAAAACAGTGTGGAGGTTCCTCAAAAAATTAAAACTAGAACTACCCTACGACCCAGCAATAGCACTACTAGGAATTTACCTCAGGAATACAGGAGTGCTGATGCATAGGGGCACATGAACCCCAATGTTTATAGCAGCGCTTTCAACAATAGCTCAATTATGGAAAGAGCCTAAATGTCCATCAACTATGGATGGATACATACAATGGAATACTACTTGGCAATGAGAAAGAATGAAATCCTGCCATTTGCAGCAACACGAATGGAACTGGAGGGATTATGCTAAGTGAAATAAGTCAGTCAGAGAAAGACAGATACCATATGCTTTCACTCATATGTGGATCCTGAGAAACTTAACAGAAGACCATGGGGGAAGGGAAAGGTGGATAAAGTTACAAATAGAGAAGGAGGGAGGCAAACCATAAGAGACACTTAAATACAGAGAACAAACTGAGGGTTGATGAGGGTGGGGGAGAGGGGAAAGCGGGTGATAGGTATTTAAGGAGGGCACTTGTTAGGATGAGTACTGGGTGTTGTATGGAAGCCAATTGGACAATAAATATTTAAAAATGTTCTAAAATTGATTGTGATGGTAACTGGACAACTTTGTGAATATACTAAAACTCAGTGAATTATACTTTTTAATAGGGGAATTGTATGACATACAAATTTTATCTCAATAAAGTTGTTACCATAAAAAGATAATTGGCTGTTTAAAGCAAAAACAGTAATGTTGTATTGTGGGGTTTATAATGTACGTAAATAAAATGTTATGTTCACAGTAGCACAGAGGTCACAGATTAGAAGGGAAATGGAGGTATACTTTTGTAAGTTTATTACACTATATGTGAAGTGACATATTACTTGAAGATAGACTATATTAAAGATACATAATATAAACCCTGAAGTAACAACTAAAACAATGAAACAGAGGTTTTAGCTAATAAGCCAACAAAGGAGGTATGATGGAATCATAGAAAGTACTCAGTCCCAAAGAAGGCAGAGAAAGAAAACAAGGTGAACAAAGAACAGATGCAACAAACAGAAAACAGATAATAAGAGGCCACATTTAAACCCAACTTCATCAATAATCATAATAAGTGCAACTGGTTTAAACAACCTGATTAAAAGGCAGAGAAATGTCAGATTGGATTAAAAAGCAAGAGGGGCACGTGGGTGGCTCAGTTGGTTCAGCGTCTGACACTTGATCTGGGGTCAGGTCATGATCTCACAGGTTTGTGAGGTCAAGCCCCACATTGGGCTCTGTGTTGATAGCATGGAGGTTACTTAGGGGATTCTCTCTCCCTCTCTCTCTCTCTCTGCCCTTCCCCTGCTCTCTCTCTCTCTCAAAATAAATAAACT